TTTCTTTCTTTCTTTCTTTCTTTCTTTCTTTCTTTCTTTCTTTCTTTTTATTTATTTATTTTTTCCTTTCTTCCATACTTGCTTTTTGCCTGGAGTTCCTGACATTGTGGAATTCTTGGAAAGTCACCTTGCCTGACAACAATTTACCCATGATACCTGAAATGATATTTGTTTTGCTTTATTTTATGTGTCAAAATTTACAGAGATTCATATTCAGTAACTAAGAGACAGTCATTGAGTGAGGTCTTATAAGACATTCAAAATAAGGTAAAAAAAGAAAGAAAGAAAGAATTTAATGAGATTGTTGTCCTAATAGCAAGCAAGACTAATTCTTCAACTTGGGGGGAGGAAGGGGAAAGAAACATTTTTTTTTTTTATGAGAAGGCAGAGTAACTTTTAAGCATGAGGAATGAATGGCAAAATATTCTGAAAGTTTCCTCTTTGAAGAAGTTCCCTCATCTAAAAACAATAATACCAACTAACTGCCTAAGGTTAGTGTAAGGATTAAATAAAATAATCAATACAAAGAGCTTTATTATTGTCCTTGCTGTTCTTATTGTTATTATTACTGCGTCTTTCTGTGTAACTTAACCCCGTCTTCCTGTTATAATTGTATCTGTTTTCCTTCTACCTGATATCCCCCTTTCATTGTATTGCAGTATTTCTAAAAGTTGCTTAAAATCATAATTGGAGCAGTGTTCTTTATAAGTAGATGATATAAATGTAAACAAAACAAGAATACTATTTGCCAGCCCTGTGTTAAACCCCACTGTGGAAGGCTGGAACAGATAAATCTTATATACAGGTACCATCTGGCTTAAGTGGTAACTGAGTGCAAGTGGTAATTCTGTTGAGTGTGGCTGGAGATACGCCTCTCTCACACTTTACTATAGCTCATCTCAGGGCAAGAACTCAGCTCAGGACTGGGAGCAGAAATGGCATCATATAGTGCAAGGCCCCTGCCTAATGCCCTCATTCAGGGCAGAGGGGAAAAGAATACCCAGCCAAGGGCCCTGCTTTCAAGCAGTGCCAGGCCAATGGCTGCTGCTGGAGAGAATTTGGGAAGAAATAAGAAGAAAAGAGAAGTCAAGTTGAAAGAGTGGAGTGTAAAAAATCATCATAACAACAATACCCATAAAAAGTGAATGCCATACTTCATAACTCCTTTGTGTAGGCAAGACACCTAACTCTTTGTGCACATGTTTAATCTGTGAAATGATGACTATGGTAAGGGAAGACCTGGATTACATCTTTCAGGGATTCTTTTATGTTTTTCTTTGTTGCCATGGACCCCTTTGGTAATCTGTTGACCCATCTGTTGAACCTATCTTTGTTTGCGTTCTTCAGAAGCAGATCCCAAATGCAAGTCATTTATTCGGTAGGTGTAGGAAATGCCCATGGGGAAATGGGAAAGGAAAGGCAGCCAATAAAATAGACAACTGGAGGGGTTCCTGGGTGGCTCAGTTGGTTGAGCGACCGACTTTGGTTCAGGTCATGATCTTGCGGTCTGTGAGTTTGAGCCCTCTGTCGGGCTCTGTGCTGACAGCTGGGAGCCTGGAGCCTGCTTCGGATTCTGTGTCTCCCTCTCTCTCTCTGCCCCTCCCCTGCTCATGCTCTGTCTCTCTCTCTCTGTCAAGAATAAACATTAAAAAAAATTTTTTTAAAGTAGACAACTAGAACTTAGCCCTACAGGCTATTCTGGGACAAAGAATGTAAGACCACTTTTCATCATTTTCCTACCTGAAGGGGGAGGGAGCTGAGGTAAACTATACACTTGCTCCCGGGGTCTTAATGCCCTGGTACTTGCAGCCTTCCACACGTGGGCACCAGGCAATACTGCTTTGCATGGTTGGTGGAATGGACAGATCTCAGGCCTCCAGAGGATGCGGATACTGGCAGTTGGAAGCCAGCTCGCGCACACAGAAAGAAAGGTCCAGGGGATATGCAGGGGGGCACCTTCCAACATCTGCTACAGACCGCCTTCTCAGAATAATGTTTTGAAATGCATAAAATAAAATTCATAGGATTACAAAGAAAACCAATTATATTGAAATTCAGTTCTATCCACAGATCCCTTGGGGGACCCCAGGTTAAGAAACCCTGCTAAGGTTTCTTTTCAATGTGAAATTATATGGTTTTATGACCTAAGAGCATGGATTGTGTTACTCTGCCAGGAGGTGGTTGAGTAAAGCTCTGCACAGTCTATGTAGAAACTATTTCAGAAGAAAAATGCGCTCACCCAACCTGACAATCCCCCACAGCTCAGGGACTGTGAATGATGTTGCTGGCCTCTCTTACTCCCTTTTTATATTTTACAATGTTTGTTTTGCATTGTTTATGCTTTTGCGTTTTTAATGTGTCCTTTGTTAGCTCTGAAAGCTCTCTGGGGCAGCAATTTGCCCACATCACCCTGGCAGCCAGTCTACCCTCCTCGGCTGTCCCCAGGGAGCTCCATCTTTAAAGTCATGCCTCTGAAGGGTGCCCCAGAGCCCTTCTGCCATGTAGCCACAGTGGGCCAGGGTCCACCCTGTGGCACGATGGTGCCAACAGGTGGCTGTGTGCAGGGTGCCGGAGCAGCCACCCCCCTGGGAGCTGCACGCCACTGAGACACCATCCACCTCCTAATGTGCCTCCATGGCTCTGTTACTCACAGCTAAATTACAGTATTATGACTTCATTGTTGAGTCCCAATTCTCCTAATTATAGCCTAGAGATCTATTATTTGATTTGGTAACACCAAGTGCTTCTTTTCTAAATCATGTAATCTCTTGTAGCTTATTAATGTCAGGTTTGCGCACACGCAGGGACTTGGTTGTTTGCCAGGCAGAATCAAATTTTCAAATTTTCGCTGTGTTATGTTACAGGGCTTTGCTTGTTACAATCTAATTATATTGGCACTGAAATACCGAAAACCAATTTATATTAGAAAGCACTTTAACTCTTTCTTTGGAGTGAATTTACATGTGTAAGAGTCTGCCACACCATTGGTCTTTTTGTTTTTCCACTGGGAAATCCCTTCTGGAAAGGAGGTAAAAGTAACGGTCCCTTTCTATTAAAAAGTCTGCCGTTTGTGGACAAAAAGCATGAATATGGCCATTCCCTTGTTTGAAGCATGGCGAAGGAAGGAAGCATGCCTCTTCCATTTTCCTGTGTTCTATTCCAGGCCTCCCTGCTGGGAGTGCCACTCGTCCAGGCACCCAGAAACTCTTGCTGGTGGGTGTTACCTGGTGGCAGTACCATCCCCAGCTTTGGACCATTTCACCTCCTTTCTGTCCTCTTCTTTCTTTCAGATGTATTTTCCCATGCTCTGTTTTCTACTAGGTTGCACGATGGGTCTTTTGTCCTGAAGACATTGCCCTTTGAAGACCAGGAAGGTCTTGCTGCCTAAGGAAGTTGCTTCAGCAGAGGGACCTCCTTTATTATCCCGCTTTGCCTTCTCAGAGGATCTTGTGGCTGTTGCATCTGATTGTCAGGGTATTTGTCTTGCCACTCTATCTATTTCCCCAATAATGGCCATGGCTTTCTGATCCCAGGATCACTGCTCCTTGTCAGACTGTTATCACCAGGGAATACTATCTACATTTAAATCATCCAGTATCCCACCTTTGAAAAGGAGCCCTAACTTCCTCCTAGCTTTTTTTAAGGAACTTAATTTTAGAGTAGTTTTAGGTTCACAGAAAAATTAAGGGGAAGGTACAATCTCACCCCTACACATGCATAGCTTCCCCCATCTCAACGTCACCTTCCCCACAAAGTACTACATATGTGACCTAGCTCCAACTTCACTTCTGTGTCATTCAGATCTACACTCTTGCTCACTCATTAACTTCAACAATACTGTTTCGTTTTGTTTTGTTTCTTCCTCAAATTCTCCTTTCCACTCTATCGCATTTGTACACATTCTTTCCTCTGTCTGCAAATGTTCTTGGCATTTATGGCGTCCACTCATTCTTCACATATCAGAAAAAATGTCACTTCCTTAGAGAATATTTTCTTTCCTTCTATTTAACCAGGTACCCCCCAACAAACACCTTATTTCATTTATTCTGCCTTGTATTTATTTGTTTTCTTCATTATTATCCCTCCCCACTCTTGAGAAAGACTAAGATCCATGAGGGCAGAGATTTTGTTTTGGTCACCATTGAATTTCCACTGCCAAGTCCAGTGCCTGGCACATAGATGAAGATAAATATAGACTAAGGAATATGCTGCAGAGTGAAGGAATATGGATCCCAAGAAATTTATATTGTCTTATAATGGAGAAGAATCAATGTGTTTCAACTTTTTGGACTTAACTGGCTCTCTTTCTTCTTTCCTTGATCCAATCATGTGGACCCCCTTCGTTCTCCTTGAGACCACAGGGTATGGCCAGTCCTCTGCTCCTGAACAAGAAACCAAGGAGCCATCACAGGTTGGCACAGCTGTGACTTGGTGTCTCCATCCCAACTTCTGCTCGAACCTGGTCTAATGATTCAGATCTTGTCTGAACCAAATACCTTGTCTTTTACGATGCCTTCCCTGGACTTCCCTGGAGGTGGTTCTTACATGGTGCCCGCATGTTTCACTTGACCAGTGGCTAGTGGCAGCACAGGCCTCATCATGGCCATGTCAAGGGTCACTCTTATTTAAGAGAAGGATGAAGTGGTACAAGGTCAGGAACCCCCTTTCATGGCAATCAATCACTGAGTCACAGAAGGGTTCAGACAGATGGGAAACCAACAAGACCACCCCCTGAAGCAGGAAGAGAGGTTGGTCAGACACACACTGCCCCATGGAAGAGACCCACAGGAAACACTGATGGACTGAATTATGTACCCATTATGGCTCTGAATGAGACAGCTGTGGAGCGAACCTGTGGATTAATGTGCCTACTTAATTGCAGTTGTAACAAATCATTGATCAAATTTGTGGAACTAGCTGATCCCTTTTTGCTCCTTCTTCTAGTATGCTCTCCACAAGAGTGACAAGGTAAGGGGCTCCTGATCCACATATGAATACAAGGGAAGCCCCATCCCCTGGAATGAAGAAAACTGAGGGCCTCTTTCTCCTATTCTGTGGGTCTTCTAAAATATCCAAGATGCATTAAGGATTGGAAAGGTGCCCTCTTTTTAGAAACTTCAGCCAAAGAGCACAGAGCAAAGCAGATGTCTATGCCCACTTTCTTGGAAGGAAAGCCTTGAAACACACTTCACAAGACTCTTCCATCATCTCTCATTTAGAAAGCCTGTGTCCCCAATGCTGTATCTTTGCCCCCTCTACCTGGAATGCTCTCCTGTTGCCACCACATTTCTGCTTGTAGACATTTAACCCATCCTTCACAGCCTGATAAAAAAGGCATCTGCTCAAAGGAGTAGTCTCAGATCTACATGGTCAGAATCACACTCTGTCCCCACCGGCCCCGTAATCAGGTGCTTATGCTGTTCATAGATGGGTTGTTCATACATCCCAGTTTTCTTGGGACCGTCCTGCTTTATGCCTGTCATGCCAGGATTCATTAATAGCATCTTTTCACCTTCAAAACTGTCTCAATTGAACATTAGACGGTATGGTGTGGTGGACACACCCTCTGGTGACCCCCATTGGGTCATATCTTTTTCTGACCCCTTCCCTTGAATGCAGGAAGAACTGGTGAATTGCTTCTGGCCAATAGAATGTGGCCAAGGTGACAAGATAGCCATCCTTTGGTTGTGTCACTTTTTATAAGATTCTGTCTTCGTGACTAAAGAGAGTGGGTCCCCTGCAGGCCTTGAAGAAACGAGCTGCTATGATGTGAACTGCCTGAGGGAAGGGCCTTAGGAACTGTGGGCAGGAACCATGGGCAGCCTCTACCTGCTGAAGGCCTTGGTCTTCTGGATGTAAGGAACTGAATTCTGCCAGCAGTCACATGGCCAGAGGAGGACCCCAAGCTCCAGCGAGGAAAATTGTGACTCCTCAATGACGGTCTCTGAGCCCTGAGCAGAGGACCCACGTGAGCTGTGCCTGGACTCCTGACCCACAGGCACTGTGAGGTAAGGAACAGGTGTTGGTCGAAGCTGTTAAGTTTGTGGTCATTTGTTAGCAACAGTCAAAATTGATCCATATGGCAGCCTTGTATTACTAACCAAGGGCTCAAATGGTCTTCTCTCTCTGACAGACTGGTATTTTCTTAAAGTTGGGGTGTATACCGTATTCATACCTCTGGTTTCCTATGGGCAGAGCAGTTACTTCCTACTCTGCAGGTACCACAGCACCTAGTGTAGCAGAGTAAGCAAGGGTTCTGGCATCCTAGTTCCTGATTTGAACCCGGGGCCTACCACTAACTAGCTATGTGATTTTAAACAAGATGTTTTAACCTTCCAAGGCCTCAATATTCCCATCAAAAAAAATGGAATTATAATATAGGGCTTTTCTCTGCAAGGTAAGATTTTTTTTTCTTTTAAGTGGGCTCCATTGTGGAACTTGAAATTATGACTCTGGGATCAAGACCTGATCTGAGATCAAGAGTCAGGTGCTTAACCGACGGAGCCACCCAGGTGCGCCTGTGAGGTAAGATTATAGTGAGGATAAATTGATTTAATGTCAAAAAGTGTTTTACGACCCCATGGCTCATGGTGCTGTGTAAATTTACTATCACTTGCATTCTTTGTTCTATTTCATCCTCATGCCATATCTGTTATTATCATCCCCATTTATAGATGAAGAAACTTAGCCATTAACTAATTTTCTCAAAATTAAACAGCTCATAAGTGGCAAAGAGATTCAAACCAAATCCGTACATGTTTTCCCCACTCTCTCCACACCTGCATCTCTCTTGCGGGTGCACATTTTTGAAAAAGAAAAACAAATGAAAACAAAGAGAACTTTTTTCAGAATTCCAGTGTATTTCCCAAGAAGCAGTACACAAACACACAGATGTCAAGTTTGGCTAAGCCCCATGTTCTGGAGTCACCTCTTTAGGCGTGGGTGGGTTTCTGGAAGCACAGGCAGACAATTTAGACAGTCCAGTGGAAGATGGTGACCCGTAAAGGAGCTCTGGGCCCATTAAGCTGACACACTACCTGACAAATGATGGGGGCTTTTAGACAATTCCAGGCTACTAAAACCTGGATATTTACATAAGTGCAGATTATCGGGATCCATAGATAATTTGCTACCTGCTCATTTTTAATGTGTTTGTGAACACTCATGAGAAGCTCATTAATTGTAAGTGTCTGTAAGCTTATTGGGTTGTAAACCAAGGTTGACAGCACAATAGGCACCGATAAAGGGAAGTGGCCCCTCTACCAGCCAGAAGGAGGAGGCATGCAAATCAGCCCTGGGGATAATTGACAAGATTGCTGGGATGCACATAAGCCCCTTATCTGAGTGAGCTTTATGTTCCTGTCCTTAGGTAACCAGCAGAGATACAAGCCACAGTCATGAGAGTCTAACTGCATTTAACCATGGTAGGGCGACAGGGTCAGGCACCCAGGCCCAGTAATTGGGGAAATGCGTGAAGTCCATGGCCTGACAAGGCTGAAATCCATTTGTTATTCTCTGCTTGGAATGCCCTTGCTCCTTCTCTAGACTGGCAGGCTCCGACTCATCATCTTTCAAGACAGTTCCTTCTCAAAGCTTTCTTTGACCTCGCCAGGGAGAATATTTCCCTTCTGGAGCTCCAAGAGCCCCTTGTACATCTTGAAATAGCTCTAACCCTACAGGTATCTGAAATGCCTGCCCATTCCTCCATGCCCAAAAGAGTGTAGAACTCAGAAGTTCTTCATGGATGCCTTCCAGATATGCTACTTGAAACCACTGGTGAGCTAAGCTAATTTTGTAAATACTATGGGGGCCATGGAGAAGGAATCACATCAGGACATACCTTGGCTTTCACCATTTAGCTTGCTTCTTCCCCCTTCAGGACCCATGGGAGAGAACTCACAGGACTCACAGGGAAGGGCTGTAGAAGTGAAAGCCCTGGGAGGCCACCTCACCCTACCAGCTTTTCAAACATATAGTTTTTTTAACAAAAGTGAGTTTCTGGGGTATATTACCTTATTAGAGACTAAAATAATATACTTTTATTGATCTTATTGTTGTTTTTTAAAGTTTGTTTATTTATTTAGAGAGAGGGTGCATGCAAGTAGGGGAGGGGCAGAGAAAGAGAATGCCAAGCAGACTCTGACCTTCTTGGAGCCAGATGCAGGCTCAAACTCAAACTGAGATCATGACCTAAGCTGAAATCAAGAGTCGGATGCTTAACTAACTGAGCCACCCAGGTGCCCCTCTATTGACCTTGTTGTATATATTCATATGTATATTATAGCAGACTTGTGATTCCAGAGAAGTAGAACATCCCTTGCACTTACTAGATACATGGTTGACTCCCTTGGCAGGATTCAATAGATAGAATACGCCACAACAGATAGAAGCCGACAATGTATGATGGCTCAAATGCAATGTAATGCTACTTCTTGCTTACATGGTAATCCCATGTGGTCGACCAGGGAATAGTCAGCTCTCTTCCATGCAGCAGTTCAGGGATCCATCCTTCTTTCATATTGGGACTCATTATCTTGTAGGGCATTGTCTTTGTCTGCACCAAAATGGCAGGACCAGAAAGAGCATGGAGTGAGACATGTGGCAGATTTTACTCCTCAACCCTCGAAGTGGCCACCGTGTTACTTCCACTTAAATTCCACTGGCTAGAACTTAACATAGTTATGCCCAACTACAAGGGCAGCTGGGAACCACCATTTTGCCATGTGTCCGGGAAGAAAAGGGAATGGATTTTAGCAAAGAGAAAGCAATCTGTATCACTTCCATCCAAGTTAGTTCTCTCCAGTTTCTCCCCCTTCGTACTCTGCATGGGGGACATAGATCATAACTGCACTGGGTTGCACACAGCCTCTACCACAGGCATCCCTCATATCTGAAGCATTCCTGAAGAATTCCATGTTTCTAGGTATTATTTATATTCAACTAGGTCCCACTTATTTCTATAATAATTTTGGAGCTGGGTCACCAAACAGAATACAAGTCCCATTTATGGATTTTTATATTTACACCAATCAGGTACCCCAATTTTGCCAATAGTTGATTCCTTTCACCTAAACCCTGCCATATGGTAGCCAAATATACAATTGGTTTCTCTGACCTTGCGGAAAGATTTCAACAAATTGATGTGTTAAACATAATACACAGCAAATGGCCATTTGGCTAACTCTGTGGGGCTTGACTTACCCATCTGCCACAACTACTTGGCCTTTGTTCTAACACACAGCAAGAATCTCTACCTGCAAGAGCCTCTTGAAGGTGTTATTCCAGAGGATGCCTCTGACAAGTGACAAGCTTACTCTTTCTAAATGGAGTTTCTGGACAATGGGCCTTTTGATGGTATGACTGTTTGGCCAAAAATTTGCCAATTTCAATGAGCAGAACTTCTGAAATGTAGGAAATGACTCATATGACCTACTCAAACTTGGAGTTCCTGGACATGCTGGTGTCTGCTCTTAGTGACACCACAGTTATGCCCAATGCAAGACTAACCCATTTAAGGCCCATTATCTGTCTTTCAACTATTGTCAACCCTGCTGGGAAATGTTAATAAACAACAGGGATGAGCTGAAGGGAAAAATTTGCTCATTGTTTTATGTTTACTTAAGGATACTTCCAGCTGAATATTATAGACTGCCCATCTAAAAAGTGGCTTTCAAACATCCACTCAGCTCACATAACAAGAAGTTAGGAGGCAAGGCTTTGTGGTCAACATGTCTGCAATTTCTTGATTTTCTCCTCATGGTCACAAAGTGGCTGCTGCAATGCACTGTATCATATCTTCACACAAAATCTAAAACAGGAAGTAAAGAACAGGTCTTTCTCTTGGAGTGTTCTGTGTCTTTATATCAGAAAGAGCCTCTGCACACTCACATCAGCACACTGTTCCTTAAGTCTTATTACTTGTAGACCAATTATTTCTATAGGAGTCATTCCCTTGTGTAATACAAGGAGCATATTTGATTTAGGATTAGAATGATTCATGTTCTAGAAATTAATATATTGCCCCAAATTTTGTCTGTTACCTGGAAAAAAAATTGGGTGCTGCTAGAAAAAAGTAGGGATCATTTATAGGTAAGCAATCAGTTTCTCCAGGAGTATCTAGCTTTTTTGTTGTACTAAGCCTGATTAAGAGAGAACATTATTCCTGCTTTGACTGTTATGACTCACTGTGGACCAACTCACACTGTCCAAACACTGTGTCCACTTACAGAAAAGCTTTCATGAAACCATGCTTTAATGTAGTAATCTCACTTTCCACTAAAACATTTCTTTTTATTGCTAAAACAACAACTACAACTAGTGAGTGCTTACTATGTGCTGAGCACTATAGCTAGGGATTTACACACATAATCTGATTATGGTCACCAAATGAGCAAGATGAGGTTGATACTGTGAAATCTTCATTTTGCAGATAAGGAACCTGAATCTTAACATGGTTCAGTGCTTTTCCTTTAGTTCACACAGATAGTAAGGGGTGGAAACTAAATTTGAACCTAAGACCTTTGGCTTCAGAATCTAATTTGTTTTAACCATTATACTCTATTGACTTTGTTTCCTATATTATGAAGCGCCCTTCATACATATACTCCTATGACAAATTCACAGATTTCAAGACTTGAAAAACTTGTCCCTACAGGGCTTTCTACAAGAATACAAAAAAATTAAAGCGATATACCTAATATGGTTTTTGGTTTCTAGGAAGCTTGGAGGTGTTTTTTTTTTTATTCCCTTGCTATTGTTTTCTTCAGTCAGAGATTCTTTTTTTGTTTTTAATTTTTTTTTAACGTTTATTTATTTTTGAGAGAGCGACACACAAAGCGTGAGCAGAGGAGGGTCAGAGAAAGAGAGAGACAGAATCTGAAGCAGGCTCCAGGCTCTGAGATGTCAGCACAGAGCCCGACACGGAGCTCGAACCCATGAACTATGAGATCATGACCTGATCCCAAGTCAGACGCCTAACCAACTGAGCCACTCAGGTGCCCCAGTCAGAGATTCTTAATAAAGTTTTCTCTCCTCTCATCCTGCTTTTATTTTTTAATACTTAATTTTGTCTTTTGCAAATCTTTTGGCTCTAATACATCCATTCTTTGATTGGAAGCCACATATTTTAGTTTAGTTTTAGGTTTTTATTTTTTAAGTGATTTATTTTAAGAGAAAGTGTGCTAGCAGGGGAGGGGTGGGGAGAGAAGGAGAGAGAGAATTCCAGGCTCCACACTTTCAGCATAGAGCCTGACATGGGGCTAGAACTCATGAGCCATGAGATTGTGACCTGAGCTGAAATCAAGTCAGATGCTTAAGTGACTGAGCCACCCAGGTGCCCTTTAGAAGCCGTTTTGAGGGGTAAGCAAATCTAATGGTTGTATGATTGCATGCATGCTGAAAGTTAAGAAATGAAAAGTACAGATGTCCAGGACTTACTTTGAAATGCATCAAAAAATAGGTTAAATTCATGCATGGATGGAAGGACTGATAAATGAATAGGAAAATATGTTATAAGCAAAGGTGAAATGCTAGTTGTAGAAGCTAAGTTGTGGACATATGGGTTTCACCATATAATTCTTTCCACTCTTCTGTGTTGAACATTCTCATCATAAAATGTTGGAAATACGTCAGTAAGATTTTAGATACATTTTTATAAAAGAATCTCACAGAGGTGCCTGGGTGGCCCAGTCGGTTAAGTGTCCAACATCAGCTCAGGTCATGATCTCATGAGTTCGAGCCCTGCGTCGGGCTCTGTGCTGACAGCTCAGAGCCTGGAGCCTGCTTCGGATTCTGTGTCTCCCTCTCTCTCTGCCCCTCCCCTGCTCACGCTCTGTCTCTTTGTCTCTCTGTCTCTCTGTCTCTCTCTCTCTCTCAAAAATAAACAAACATTATAAAAAAATTAAAAGAATCTCACAAAAAAGCAATTCTTTCTAAGTAACAAGAGGTAAATAGAGGTCAAATAATGGGGAGTCTTATATGCCAACCTGAGAAACTGGGACTTAATCCTCAAGATAATCAAGGGATGCTGGAAGATTTAAGCAGAGGACTAAAATATAAGACAGAGCTTGTGACATGCAGGAGGAATGGGTGGGAGCAAGGTGGAGACAGAGAGACCAGTCAGAGGTTGCTGTGATAGCCCAGACTGGAGTGAATGATGGTATCTGAGCAAAGGTGGCCACAGGGATAGAAGTGAATTCAAGGAAAAAACTCAAGAGAAAAATAAGGAGACTTAATACCTGAAGACTTGTGGGGATATAGGACTATCTAGTATGACTCAAGTTTCTGGCCTGGAGCGTGGGGAGTGGGGAGGCCATTCTTCACAGGGGAGAGCTGGAAGCACAGGGAAGCCCCCATACCCTTGGAACAGATCCATTTCTCTCTCTGGGGAGCCCACCAGCCCCACCATGGCCTGGGATCTGCTGAAACTCTGGATTTCTCCCCTGTGGATATTTTCCTTTTCTGCTTCCAAGTAGAGTGAATTCATGCTCCACTCTCCTCTACGGTCAGTGCCTGCTGAGAAAGAGCACTACAGATGGCTTCTGAAATGCTTTCCAAGCCATCTGGAGCACAGGTTGTGGGGAAGCTCCCCGCCACGGGCCCAGCTCTGCCTCCCCGGTCCTTGCCTTCACACCCCTGTCTGCTGTCTCTCAGAAGCAAACCCACACTTCATTACGAAATTACAATTGTTTCCAAGGACCTCAAAGAGGGAAAATGAAATTGTTTTCCGCTTTGAGTATAGTCACAATAAAATGACTATGGCGGGGGGGGGGCAGCAATGTGCCCTTCTTGGATAAATGAGGAGCAAAAATAGTCTTTTACAATTTGTCATAAAGATCACAATAGAATTTTTCACAAGACAAATACAATCAATGATTGAGGGAAGATGAGGGCATCCATATTTGTTCTTCCTTGGACATCACACACAGTGAGTGTCATCTTTGGTCTCTCCCAAGCTGGGGAAGTGGCAAGACAGCTTCTGGTTTGTTCTCCCAGTTACACCAGCTCCCTCCAGAGCTCAGAACCCTGGCAGCTGGCCTCTGAGGGCCCTGCAGGCTGGATGATGGGTCTTCCTCTCATGTAGTATGTTCCATGCCACTTGTGTGTACCTCTCCACCAGCTTCCTTGTTGAAATCAGTGTCTGGAGCCCGAGCCAGATTCAGCTTATTTAGATGGAGCACTGGCCACATACACTAAGCATGCACATTTTACTCTGTAAAGTAAGGAGTGACCTTCTTGTTTTCCAGATGGGAAGACCGAGACTTGAGAGGCAAAAGTGCTTGCCCCAGGTCTCCCAGCTGGTAAGTACAGATCCCCAAAGTTTTTCGCCCTATTCCAAACTGCCTCTTCTCCCCTTGGGATCCAGCCCTTTGCAAGACACCAGTGACTGGTAATGTCTAGCGGAAATCATGCAGGATTCAGTGACCAAGCCCTTGAAACTTGGGAAAGTCCTCAGAAATTTTTTGCATCTTGGCATCCAAACTGGCAAAAAGGAAAGAAATCGATTTGACCTTAGAGGTTTGGATTTTGTAAGGCGTAACTGTGAGAACAATTACTTAATTGTAATAGTTAACAATGGTAATTGTTGAGGAGTATAGGCTCAAAACAAATTAGTTCCTTAATGAGGCATTTGTTAGCTTGTTCTGAGATGACATAATGCCTTAACTCTAATGAAGATGCAGAAAAAAGGATTTTAAAAACAGTGCTTAATGTATAACTCGGTGTTCTACCTCTTCTTCCGTGTGACGTGTGGGTATACTCTCTCTGTCCCCATCCTGAGCTCCAGCCTGTGCCTGAAGGCAGAAACCAGAAGTGTGTCCTTGTCTCCCATCCTGAAAACAGGATAGTTTGGTACATTTGGAAGTGCTCTGTGTGCTAGGAGAGCACTTCCAAAAGCAAGTCTCTAATGCAGAGTGGAGTTTACCTCCCAAACGATTCCAGTGAGTAAGCCTTGTTGATGCTTGACTACTGATTTTAAAGAAAGGTTGGGGTTTCAGCACCCTGAGTTCTCGAGATGTCATTTATGACCAGGAGTCTCCAATTTGCTGCCTTCTAGGAGCTGTGTGAAGACCCACACCAGCCTCCCAACCCGGGGTCTAGGATGAAAGGAGGCAGCAGCTTGTACACAGCTCTGTCCCCACTTGGTCACCCTTCAGATGTTGACGAACAGCTCGCGTTGCCCTCTGACACCCTTTCTCTCCTCTCCCTACCCAGTTGAATGACGCAGCTTTGCACCACGCTGGGGACTGCAGGAAACATGCTGCTTCCTAATGCCCAGCATTGCCCTTCCCAGGCCGGGTTTTGCACCTATAAGCTTGAGTTGATGCCAAATGACATGCCTCTTCCTTTAACGCTCTTTTAAGCCTACACATTTAAAGGCCTGGCTTGGACGCTTCATTGGCACAAAGTGTTTGGGATCTTTGACTTTCCAGTAATAAATAAATCAGAGATTAGAGTAAGAGCTGCTAAATCTCAGAAATCTGCCTCCAGTTTATCGCAAATCTCCTTATGTATTCAGATACTTTGGATATACATTAAAGTCTCTGGCCCATATTTATGATTCTGAATATTGCATTAACTTTTTTACAAATACATCAATAATTGGCATAGGAATAGGGAGGGACCTACTTCAGCCGATGCCCCAACCATTACCCTCTCTTGGCAATAATTGCTGATACTCGTGAGGAATTAAAAGCGTCGTGGAAAATTCCACAGATTTTTCCCCTGTCTCCTGGGAACTCAGAAGCCCCTGGAGAAGTAAAATGATCCTTGGCATCATCATCAGGAGACAAGGGAGGTAATAAGAGTCCTCCCCTACGAGACGGAGTTGAAGAGGTATGAGGTGCTTTGCAGATGAAGGGCAAGTTGCTCATGTGGGGTTTTATCGGGGATGTCTGGGGGCCCACTCTCCTATCAGTATCTTCTCTTGCATTTGGATTGAATTCAACAGTATGGCCTTTCCTACTTACTCAAGGCCATCAGTGAGGGGGTGAGGTAGGGGCATATGAAGGCACAAAGAGTTTGGGGTTGTGGGAGAAGAGAAGACAGAGAGCTGTGAAGAGCTTCATCACCTCCCTAGCTGGACTTCTTGTTGGAACAGTGACGCCATACAAGCATCACTCATGAGGCAGGGTGCATGCAGATCAGGGAGACCAGAAGATAGAGGGAAAGAGAAACCATGCTGTAAGGAAGAGCTGAAGAGCCCAGGGCTTAAGCTCTGTTTTCATGGTCAGAGAAACCAGAACCAGAAGACACAAAGGAAGATATTCCCACGACATTTTAAAGGTGCCCCCAGTGAAGGGAGGGGCAACGGAATACTGCCATTTTCTGGGCACTTACAATGAACCAGGGTCTGTATGAGGCATTTTGTGTATTTTTGATCATGAAGTTCTCACCTTGTCTCTGAAACTTTCTGTGCTGAGAGGACTGGAAGTCAGAGAAGTCACAGAACTCACCTCAGATCCCAGAGCTAGTGAAGAGCAAGAGAAGAGCTTCGATTTGAATTTCCACTTCACGCTGACCCTATTCCGGTAAGTGATCAAGCAGAGGCTGTGTGACCTCATGATGAGGGATTGAAGAGGGACCTACATGGACCTAGGCTCACACTAGCTGCTCTCCAAGGTCCCTTCCAGCTCTGAAACTCTGTGCACAGCCCTGGTGGCCTGGCGAAGCGTGACTGAGGGCTGAGGAGAAGGCAGAAGGGAAGCTTTGTGGGCAAGGCGTCTGTTTAGCAGAATGAAGTGAATGACAAATGGGCCTCCCCCGGGACTGATTCCCTCTCACTGTACCCAACAATAAAATGCTTCACAAAGAAACCTGACAATTTAGTTGTTAATTCAAAACATCCTTCTCCAAGCTGCCTGTAACTATAACCTAATTGTTGCAAGATGGTGGTTTACAAAAAAAAAAGAAAGAAAGAAAAGAAAAGAAAGTAAAATCACATTAAATACAAATGTGCATTCTTCTGTAATAAACTCACTCTATTCTTGTGTTCATTTTACCCTATTGTCTTTTATGTTACCATTAGATTTTTAATCTGCACACTAAACATTTATTTCTATAAAAACTCTAATGTATTTTCAAGAATTTAGAGATTTCCCACTTTCTCTGTCTGTTATGAGAGGCAACTCAGTGATGGATACAGCCTGGACCGTGGAGCACAGTACCTGAATTTAGTCTGGCTATTTAACTTCTCTGAACTTTGACTTTTTCATCTTGAAAATCAGATTATAATATCCACATTGTAACTTTGTTGAGAGGGTCAGTAGAAGTCTAGGAGAAAGTTTTTTAAGTTCTGATAAATAATACTGATGTTTTGTTACTCTTTTCTAGTCAAAGGGCTTGGCTCATGAGGCATTGTTATGCTCCTGGGATGGGTGACAGATTTATTAATTTGTTATTCATCTGTCACCCATCCAAGCATCCATCCATCCACCCACCTACCTATCTGCCCACCTGTCCATCTGCCTAACTAGCTTTCTGTCTGTTTAACAAATGTTGATTGAGTTTCTGCCATGTACCAGATACACAATCAGGATCTAGGAATATAGGCATGAATTAGATATAGTATGATTCCTGACTCCAAAGTCTTTCTTTCCAGAGAGAGGGGAAGGCACATTTATACATAATTACATAATAAAGTAGTCATGGAATAAGACTGTACCTCTTAAACCATGGGGGAAATGTAACCATCTCAGGTTATTTTGTTTTTCTAATTGTCTATTAGAAGCAATGGAGAATATTGTGAGAATTTCAATTTTAGTCAGTCCTGGAGTGGGAAATTGAACAAGCCTTGGATACAAAAGAGAGAGAGACTTTCTCTGGACCTGCGGGCTGGCTGAGGAATGATTCTGGTGGTGAGTGCCTCTGACTCGTGGAGCAGGCCAGGTGAGCAGTACCCTTGACTTCCAGCTGTTTTCCTCTTCTTGGGCCATCAACAGGAGTGCCAGGGACAGCAACTATGGTGGGTGCTTTGTTTCCAAACTGCTCATCTTGACAAGCCACAATTCAGAAAACTGAGAATAATCTGAGGACTCACGGTGAGCAGGTACCACTCCAGAGTCATAGGGGAGGAGTAGTTCTTAGTACAGTGTTACCCTCGACCCCCACCACCCTGACACAGTGGATGCATCTTTGGGGAAACACTTGCATGTGAAAGATGAGCATAGCTGGTTGCATGGGTAAGACAACCGGAAAGGGATGGTAGGACCCAGTTCCTCCTCTGCCCCTAGATGAAAACTTGAGCTATCCCCTGAACTTCCTGGACTCTCTCTTTAATTAAAAAAAAAGTTATCAGTTATTTAAGGTCTCAGAATATAGTCTCAACTTACAAATTAAATTGTCCAATCTCACATCACAGTGGAATTTTCTATCTAGATTTACAGTCATGACTTTTCTCCTCCTTCTACCTTGGGTTTGCTGCAGAGAGGAAGGCTGAAGTGAGAGAAGAGGGTCCAAGGGGCCACTCTTCCCTTTTCCATTCAGTGCTTTTACTCTTCTCGCCCCGCTTCTGCTTTGTATACCTCCGGGGCTGGAGCACAATGATTCAGAAGAAGGAAAAGGAGCACAAGAGTTCTGCCGTGAGTGGTCCTGTTGAGTGAGGGCACACATCTGGGTTTTCCAGAATCCTCATTGCTGGAGGTCTTCATTTTCAGCACTTGCGATGATGATGACTCCTCCCAGCTAGTTGCTTATTCCTTTTGCAGCCTCCTTGCACGTGGTGGTGCCCCAACTTTGTTTCTGCCAAGTTCTTCTCATCTATTCAGGTCCTCTTAGGTAAGACCTCAGATGGCCCCATGCAGGCTCTCTCTCACACGACCCCAAGCGTGGACCGGCTTTCCTTTCCTCTCCAAATCTGAAGAGGTATCCCAAATGTAGCTCTCTGTCATTTGTTCCTCCATGCAAGCAGCTGCCTGGCCATAAAGTCTGCCCCTATAGACTTATTAGACATGGCTACACCACTAACGTCTCCCGATCCTCCACCCAGAAGATTTATATTAAGGTTTGCTAGTCATGTCTTTGAAGTCCTTCTCTTTTAACTTGAGGTAAAGCTAGAAGTCCCTTCCAGTTCTCTCCCTTCAGGACGCGAGGTTCAAAATGCATAGCTTTCTCTACAAAATCTCCTTCTAAACTCCAACTCAACTAATTTCCGCTTTTGTTGTGGGTGGAAGTTAAGAGTGATACAACCTGGCTTTTACATACCTTTTGAAAATCCTGCTCCGTGGCTTCTCACCTCACTTTGAAGTGTTGTGTATATTGTCTTTAGCTAAATTAAGAAAGAAGAACCAGGGGCACCTGGGTGGCTCAGTCAATAGAGCATGAGACTCTTGATCTCTGGGTCATGAGTTCAAGCCCCACATTGAGGGTAGAGTTTACTTTAAAAAAAAAAAAGAAGAAGAAAGAAAGGAAGAAGAGCCAATTTTACCATTATTTAAGTTGCACATTCTAGAGGCTGATGACTCATATGGAACAAGTGTTCTCTTGAAGGCTTAGGTTCCTGATTTTTTGTTATCCCTCTTTAAGACAGTAAAGAAGGTATGAAATGGCAACTTTTCTCCACTACAAATCCCAACCTGGAGAATCACATGATAATGTTCCTTCCCTCCCTCCCTGCCAAAGTGATGCTTCAAGATATAACAAGAAATAAGATGATGACGTTGGCAAAACAGCCTGATATAAATGAGTAAAGTAAATGTTAAACAGCACAGAAATGGTCATCAAAGAAAATATATTCCAGGAATAAGAGGATGTTCTTTACTCCATGACTGATTCATCTTTATACCTTCCTAAGCCCCCAACACAGGGTCTGGCACATAAGGGTTTATAAATGTAGCTGATTTTGTTCCAAATACAATGTCAGGCATTGACTTCTGAGTGATGGACAAGGTCAGTTAGCTCCACAGTCTACTCATGTGCCTGGTGGCTATTTGTTGAATGAGGCCAAATTATCTAAAAGCTGTTTTCCTCATGTCCCCCACCTACAGTTGTCACATACTGTCTTCCAGGCCCTTCCCCTCTCCTACTGAAGATTTAGAGAGTTGATCACAATCTTTCCATTCCACAATATCAGGAGATTTTAATATCTACATAAGTCATCTATCAAACAGTATAGCTTCATACTTTCTGAGCCTCCTCGATTCCTTTTCAGGGCCACATCTTATCACATGGGACTGTTCCCTCAGAAAAGTCCCTCTCCTGCTTCCGAATTTGACCATAACTACTAATTCCTTCCAGCAATCTTATCCCCTGCTTCTCACTACACCTGCACAGACTGTCACTTGGTCCTGCCATTCTCTCCCCCACTTCCCGATCCATCAGGGATCCCACGGCTGATCATTGCAATTACTTTCTCAAAGGCATCCTCAGTTCCCTTGCCCTTTTTTTTTTCTGCCATATCTGCCTGAACAAACCTCAGCTCTAATTTCCTTCATATTCTACTTATTCATCTTCTATATGTGTATAGAGCTGATTGATGCTGGAGAAGAAGCAAATAACCATAAACTTTGGTACTCTACAAATTCATGGTCTTAACCTCACCTTTGGTTGATTTCATCTAGCATCTTCTTTAAAAGTCCCAATCTTCCTCAATCTGTAAGTCTCCAAGTCAGCTTCTCCCCTACCTCCACTCCCACTCTCAGCCAGTAGCATTTTCTTGTACTTTGTCAAGACTCATCATGTGCTTGGGGCATGGACATTGGTATGTTGTAAAAGCTCCCCTGGTGACTCTGACATGCAGCCACTGTTGAGAACAAGCGATCTAAGGAAACCTGGTGAATATCTGAAATGCTGCCTAGGGAATCTGTTTCAGGCCTCTGGCTCCACATCACCTCCACTTGTTATAATCACCACCCACTCAGTATCCCGTGGTCCCAGCAGCTGGGCCCATCTTGGCTCCTTTTATCTCATTTTGTTCCATTAGTATTTCATGACCTAACTGTTGACCTGGATACTGCAGTGATGGCCCCATATGATACTTGTGATAATCTCAGCTGTGCACACATAATGGCTGGCATGGGACACCATGCTTCTGTGTCCCTGTCTATCTAGGAAGGGGTATCAGACTGGAGGGACTGAACTGTAAATGCCTTTTTTTTTAAAGTTTTATTTATTTATTTTTGAGAGAGAGCAAGAGAGCGAGAGCGGGTGGGGCAGAGAGAAAGGGAGACACAGAATCCAAAGCAGGCTCCAGGCTACAAACTGTCAGCTCAGAGCCCGATCTGGGACTTGAACTCATGGACCATGAGATCATGACCTGAGCCGAAATCAGATGCTCAACCTACTGAGCCACCCAGGTGCCACTATAAATGCCTTTTAAGTGCAGAACATGACTGTGTCAGATTGGTGGTTGTCTTCTTCATAGTGCTGCCACCACGCACTTCTGAGGATGAATCTGCTTCCCTGTAGAATTTTGGGTTAGTCTGCCCATGAGAAGATGCATGGGATTTGGAAGGTGAAAATGAAGCAGTTGTTCTTCACAGGAGGTTGTGGTGGTCAGATGGCAGGCGTCCAGACCTCTTCCTAACTCTCCATGTTTGCAGTGGTTGGAGAACTCGTCTGTTTCAGTTCATCAGGCTTCATTCTGGTAAGTGTTTATCTGATCCTCGGATGGTAGCCTTCTCACTTCTCCAAACTCTTCTTACATTTGTGTGGGTCCCATGTTAATCTTAATCTTTTTATTCTCATAATGCCATAGAAGCTCAATCTTTTTTTTTTTTTTTTTACTGAACATTGGCTGATACCAGGGCTTAATATCCTGGACAAAGGATAGTTTCTGACAGTTCTAGGGTAGAAGGTCACACCATAAAAGGAATACTTAAGGCAAATTGTATATTTGGAAGCCAGAAACCTATCCAACAGTGGTGTTGGTAACTACCTCATTTTTTATGTGATCCTGCTTTGAGTACCACCTGGGGTAGGTTTGACAAGTCTGTTGTCACGCCCTTCTCCCCTTGCTCTGGTTGAGGGCATGTCAACATGTGCCTTTGCGTGGACTGGGGGTGCCTGAGGAGAAGGTGGTATAGCTGTCTTTGTTTATACTGGTTCTGTTCTGTCACAAGCCCAGGGAAGACAGCTGATGTGAGATCCAGAACACCTGGCTCCACTCTTGTCCACCGCGTGTGCCTGAGCCTACCCCTTTCTCTGCCCATTCTGCAGTTTCCTCATCTGTTAGTTGGTCAAGAAAATCAGTTATCACAGAGGTGCCTCTCAGCCCTAACATTCTCCAAGTCCACGAATCCATTGGACGACAGTTGGAGTTCCTCGGCTCAGAATGTCTCACCAAGCTGGGCCTGCGACAAGACCAGCCAGGGCAAGGCCAGGCCTAGAAGCTGTGAGCTTTCTCCTGGGCCTGCGGGGGCTGATTTATGGACGTGACTTTGTTCTGGGACAGGATCTGACGGCAGTCAGGGAGGTGACAATGCACAGGCACTAGGCAAGCAAACAACTCTGCCTGCAGGGTTAGGGCCCAGGGCGGGCTTGGCCACAGCAGCTGCTGACAGACAGACAAATGGACAGACATGCCTCACTCCAACCTCTTGTCCCTACCCTCGCAGGGGCTCCTGCTGCCTCTCACTGTGTGATGAGTAGGTTAAGAATAAGGCTCAGCGTGCAGTTATGTTGTCTTTAGGCCTCCTGGGTTTCCTTAGGGCAGATTCTCTCACCAAGCCTCCCTTTCCCTTGTCCTGAGGCCCCAAGCCTCAATCAGACACAAATCTTGTTTGCATAAGTTCCCTGTTCCTTTAGTGGCTCTGGTTTTCCCTCTTAAGACACACACCCTTTTCTACATTTATTGTTCCCCCCGCTGCCTCATTTTCTCACAGGTTCCTTTCTGGGGAGCTGGGACTCAGCCAGCCTCCTCTTGTGGCAAATAGACCAAGCACCCACAAGAAAGCCCCCTTTCCTCTTCAGTGTGTCTCTTCTTGCCGTTAAAAAGAGAAAAAAAAGAATAAAATTCTCTTCCTCCTGCTTCTCTTTATAGGTTTTCTTCTTAAGAGAATTAAGAGCAATCCAAGCCAACTCCATAGCTACTTCTCTTCACAGAAATCATCTTGAAAGTCTTTGTTCCTCAAGTCAAAAATGAGGATTGCTGGCTGCCAATACTGAGCTCCCAGGGTCAGCTTCTCCTTGTCACCTTCTCCACAGTGCAACCAGGGGAGAGAGAAGTTAGTGGCATTTGAGGCTGCACGTTTCTACCCAACAACCATTTTCTCCCAGGGTGAAAGGGAGCTCCATGCTTGGTTTCTGACTAGGCTTCTGTAATGGGTCTATAGGATTGCTCTTTCTGGAAACCATCCAGACCCATAATGGGTTGAGGTAGTGAGCTACCATTTCTGGAAATGTTTGCGTGGAAGACATATGATCCTCTGTTGGAGAGGAAGGACACTGGATGGCTGCTGAAGTCTCTTTTTACTTGGTAGTCTCCTAAATCCCAAGCCCATGTGCCACAGTCGTATCACAATAGCAGGTCCAACAAAGAAGGATCTGATGGGATGTAGGGCCTAGCTGCAGCCTCAGGAAAAGGTCCCCATGGCAGGCAAAGGGAAACTCCAGGTCAGGATATCTATAAAATTCTCTGCAGCCAAACCAGAACTTCTCAGGGCAATGGTGGGCATTGTATCATAAGACCCACACTGTGTAATGGGTACCTTGTAGGTTCCAGTACACAAGGAAAAGTAGGATATGGTGGCATTAGCTTAATGACAGCAAGACATTAAATTACATTGGAGCGTGCAATGATCTGAGAGTCAGAAGAACTTGCCCACTGTTCTCTTTCTCTGTGTGCTTTTAGGAAATTATTGTCCCTTTCTAGGTCTTGGTTTCTTCATTTGTAAAAATCCAGGATTGGTGTCTATCTGCTTTTCCCAAAGAAGTTTCCAGGGAAACTTAATCCTACTAAATAATTCACATAAAATGATTTCATGGCAAAATATGCTTGGAAACCCCATGTGAGGTCCCCCTTAGAGAATGACAATGCTGATGTGCCCATGAATGGTTCCAAAAATCCTGCAACAAAAATACCTGTGTCTCTTTGTGTAAACAGTGTTTCCAGAATGTCTTTGAACATAAAAGTCTTTTTTCCCCAGTATAGGTCTTTATCACCCAAGGTGCTAATACTGCTCAGCACACACTCAGGGAAATAGTGATCTAGATCATCTCTGTGGCTCCTTAGTCTGAGGATATTCTGTGCTTTTCTAATCAGCAGGAGGATCAACAACAAAAAGCTATTTCCTTATGTGCATGAGCAAGACCCATGCTGCCTGCCTCTCTAGGTTAGCACCTCTGATTAGTGTCTGTTACAGGCTTCTGCAGACACTCTTTCTTCTGCCTGAAACACTGTCCGTAATTTGTGATTGGCTAACAGCCTTCTCGTCTCCGCCTCACTTGTACTTCCACTGGGCTGCCTTCTCTGTGCCTTGGGTCTGCCTTAGGTACCCAATTTATATGTCTTTCATTTTCCAGATCATGTCTACACTGTAATAAAAGTTCCATGAAGCCCAGAGCCTTGCATGTTGTGTTCTCTATTATATCTCCAGTGTCTGTTAAAGGGTTTGACATATTGGAGCCCTGATAAATATTTACGGAACAATTAGATACAAATTAATCGGCTTCTGGGATTGCTCCTTTAATTGGGACAAGGAACGAGTGATTACCACCTATGGAAGGGGGAGGAGTCTTATTTTCTTATTACACTGGGAAGGTTACAGAAAGAAAGACATCAGAGTTGTTCTACTTGGGACTGGCTGCCTCTCTTAAGAGAGAGCTTCCCATGACTGAACTTGTTTATATGAACACAAAGGAGACCATCACCAGTTAGAATTTTGAATGAAATGACTCTGACATTCCCTTTGAATGCTACGAGTCTGGGACCGAATTCTTCCTTAATCAGTATTCTGTGTAATTTACACATTCCTACAAATTGTGGGCTTTTATTTATTTATTTATTTTTTGGTCATATATCTTTGCTTTTTAAGAACAATGACTAAATTTAAACAATAATTAGTTTACTAGCAATCCATTATATTAATAATAGCAATCTAAAGCATTAATAAAAATGCAGTTTAAATGCTGAAGTCAAGGAACAATTAAGCTATATTATGCAGCTCTCAGTGATAATAGAGACTAATTTTTTTAAGTTTATTATCTAATGTTAATTGGAAATATGTAGACTTAAACAAGCATTATATGAACACTGATTGCAACCTGGTTGCAATACAGAAGAGAGAAAAGAAAAAAATGGAAAAGAAACATATAGAAATGCCAGGCATGTAGGTAAAGAAGAGGGAAAGGGTGACTAGAGATGAAGTTTGTTCGTTTTATAATTTGCTTCTGCAAAATTTTTCTCCAATTCTTTTCAACGTGCTTGTCTTCTTTGTAAAATTTTTTGAAGGTAAAAATAAGATTGGAAAGAACAGAAAATATGTTTGCTGGCTCTGCAAACACGATTTTGATTTTTTTTTTTTTTTTTCCAGCTGAGGTGTTGGGGCCTTGTTCAAAGATGACTGGACTGTAAGGGTAATCCTGGCCTCACTCTCCTTTCCCAGCCATCTTGAAATGCCCTCCAGAGCAAGACGGAATGACAGCAGTCACCCCTGCCTCAGACACTTCCTCGAGTCACTGACAACTGCCAAAGACGAGAGGCTGGAAGCTAGGCTAAGATGGAAAGATGAGAGGTTTGGACTTCACCTCCCCTCATTGCCATTTGTGACTTGTGAGTTATGTTGCTTTTTTTGGAGGGGGCGGTGGGCAGTTGTCCCAGGTCAGTAACCTTTTTCCTTTGTCCCAAGATAAATCCCCAAAGCAATTACCAAGAAAAAGAAAAAAACAAAGTTTCTGTTTGGCTTTTTACTGCTCTGGCCCATAAACAGCAGTCTGGGATCAAGGGCGTTGTGGGTGCGCAGGATTTAATCTCCGCCAGGTTTTTGTCCCATAAACATCCTTTCAGCTGTCCTGGCCCCAGACATCATTCCCTTTGTGCTGCTGATGCATGGTCTGCGATGGAGTGGCCTGCTACATTGCTCTCTGTGGACCCAACTACCACCAATTCTGACCCTTCAAGCCTGGAAAATCCCAGCTCATTCATGCTTGAGATATTTGGACCCAAGACAGTCCCTGACTTGACAGTTAAATATAATTCAATGGAACAGAGAGGCCTGGCATAGTGGAAAGAGCACGGCTTTGGGGAGTCAGGACAATTTAAGTCTGAATCCCAGTGTCATGCCTACAAACAATGTGACTTTGGTCAGACCAGGTACTTAACTTCTGGAAGCCCTCGTCTTTCCTCTGATTCCTACTATCAGGGCTGTTTTGTGGACTGAATAAAGTATCAGATGTAAAGTAATTGGTAAAGTAAAACCGAGTTCTTATCCCCTTTGGTCGCTGGTGTCACAGACTGGAGTGCTGAAACCACATTTTCAGAAGGTTTCTGGTGAAACTAAACCCAGTCCTGAAGAAACTAACGAAGATGATGGGGGGTCCAGATCCCAGGCCCTATGAGGAGCAGGTGAAGGAACTGAGCATTTGGTGTGGAGAAGATGAGGATCTTCACTAACTGCCTTCACATCTGGGAGTCACCCAAATCTGAAAGCAAGAGCAGATTTGGTCTCTCCGCCCCCCCCCCCCCGCCCCGCCTCTGTTACCAAAGTTACTGGATGTCTTCCATGTGCCAGACTCTGTGCTTATCACTGAGGATAGACTGGGGAACAAGAGGCCTCCAGACCTCTTGGAGCTTTTAATCTACTTGGAAAGACAAACATTGGATGAGTAATTTTAGGTGTGATTGGTCATCAAAAGGGGAGAGGAGTCAGTGGCACCTTGGGGTTTTATGAGTGGTCAGAGTTCGGACCAGTGCACGGGAGCTACAGCGTGATTGGGTTCAGCCTAGAAGTCAGAAGAGAGGCCTGTGACCGCGGTAGTGGGCCGGTTTGTGTACTGCACAAGGTTCTAACCGAGGTGATGAGTGAGGATTGAGACCTGCGCCTTACTTTATTGTCTCTGCCTCGAAGCAGTGCTTTTTCTGATTTTCACAGAGCCATCACATAGTCTGGTTGTGGCCCTGAACTGAGGTCACCAAAAGGTGGCCCATGACAGTATCTGGGCTACAGATACTCTTTATAGGCCAGCAAATTCTTTTTGTTTATTTGTGTGTGTGTGTGTGTGTGTGTGTGTGTGTGTGTGTGTGTGTTTAGTTTGAAGGAGCTGTCAGATTTTAAAGTTTGGGAGATTTTACATTAGCATCTAGATTTCTGGGATCTGTGGGAAAATTGGGAAATCTGCTAACACTGGCCCCTATGTTCCAACAAGGAGGAAATTACCTGGTGGTGAGTGATGGCTGCTCCCTTTAGAGAATTAAACTGTTCCCCACCCCAATCCTATCACTCAAATACTTTCCCACCCTGGATCCTGGGCAAAGGAGTTTGCTACCTCTGCTCTTTACACATCCAGAACTGCAAGGAATGGGCTGTCCGCTGATGGAGTGACGAACTCTATCCTTGCAGGTGTCCAAGCAACAACTGTAGACTCTGGGTCAGAGATGATGCAGGAGCCTTTCCTGCCTGGTAAGTTTGGGCCAAGCTTTAGGCTTTGCAGGTGCCTGAACCCCTATGGATGAAAACCAGTCCTTGGTCCCATGACACAGTCATTATGTACGTGGCACCAAAGTATATGGACCATAATGAGAGCTTCCCTTTCTGTGGTTTTTACATGACAAAGCCAAACACCTCAATGTATTTATATGGTGAGTTCCTGGCATGGACCCAACATTACACTATGTGATATGGGAAGGATTACACATGAGTTTATTTTAGCTCTATTCAGTCTACTACATGGCAGAAGGACCAGCTAACTAGCTAACTAACGAACGAAATGAAACTAACTAGCTAAGTAACTACCTAACTAACATGGGCTGAATTGTGTCCTCCCCTGCTGAAAAACAATTCAGGTGTGACAGATTCCATCCCTGGTCCTGGACACAGAATATGGATTATTACCCCCCTACCTGGACCTCAGAATGTGATTATATTTGAAGGTAAGGCCTTTAAAGAGGTAATTAAGTTACAATGGAGTTGTTAGGATAGGCCCTAATCCAGTATGACTGGTACCCTTAGAAAAGAGAGCTGAGCAAACAGTGAGAGGGTGACCATCCACAAGCCAACGGGAGAAACCGGAGAATAAATGAAACCTACTGACACCTTGATCTTGAACTTCTAGTCTCCAGTGTTGTGAGAAAATAAATTTCTGTTGTTGAAGCCCCCACACTGTGGGACTTTATTATGGCAGCTGCTATAAACTGAATATTTATGCTCACCAAAATTCATACGTTGAAACCTAATCCTCACTATGATGGTATTAGGAATCGGGGCCTTTGGGAAACAGGTAGGTTGTAAGGATGGAGCCATCATGAGTGCAATTCACACCATTACAAAAGAGACCTCAGAGAGTTCCCTCCCCACTTCCACCATGTGAGGACACAGCAAGAAGACAGCCCTATCTATGCACCAGGAAGCAGGCTTTCACCAGTGAATCAGCTGGAGCCCCGATCATGGACCTCTGGCCTCCAGAACTGTGAGAAATAAATTTCCATTTTTTATAAGCCACCCAGTGGGTTATTTTGGTATAGGAGTCCAAAAGGAGTAAGACAGCAGCCTTAGCAAACTAATACACTAGCTAACTAACTAAATAATCACACACCCAATTTCCTTCACCCAAAGGGCTGATATTACAGGAAGAAAGGTTGAATTGTAAACATTTCCACCAATAGCCAGAGTGATGTTCTTATAGTGAGAACTGGATCACATCATTCCTCTGTTCTAAACACTCCCTCCCCCCCGCCCCAATGGCTTCTCCCTGTACTTGGATCAAAACCAAGCACTGGCCTAAAGGTCTTAGTGTGATCTAGTCCTTGAATGTTTATACTGGTCAGTATATACTGACCAGTCAGTTTATACTGGTCAGTTTGTGCCACTCTCCTTCTTGCTTATGACACGCTGCATCCTGCCACAAGCTGCCACCAATCTCTTTCCTATCTAAGGTCTTGGTATGCTTTGCTGTTTCTACCTGTAACCCTCTTCCTCCTTTCTCATTTGACCTCACTCCTGTCACCTCTCCCAGCCAGGGCTGGTGGAGGGGAATTCAAGGAAGAAAAATGGACATTTTTCTGAGCAACAATTGAGCACTGCAGCAAAGCAGTGGACTCAGTGCTCTGCATTCATTATCTGAGTTTATACAAAGCTTTATGACATAAGTAAGATTATCCTTATGAGCAAGTGCGAAAACTGAGGTGCAGAGAAGTCTCAAATCCTGAGTAAGAAGAGGCAGTGTCTGTTAAGGGCTTGGTGACATGAAAGGCAACCCAATGCATAATCCGTACATATAGAAATTAAGCTGGGGTCAGTGTCCAAGGAGATCCCAGCTGGTGAACAGACCTGTACTTTCTAAGCAGTAAATTATGGCCAAACTCCAACAGGTATCAGCATTCAGGTCTGAAGTGATCATCCCCCTGAGAGCATGACACCAGCCAAGGAGGCTGGACACAACTGATTCTCTCCTATTTCCCAAGGAGAGGGGTCAGGAGGAACTGGGCAGTTTTTGGGCCATAGCCAAGTAAGCTAAGGTTGAAGGTGGGTTTGGGCAGATGATACACTGAAGGGAAAAGTGAAGCTGAAGACCATTTGGGTAGAGAGTATGCTGTGTGGATGCTGTAACATGCCTCCTAAGTCACCCTTCAGAGAAGAACTTGTTGCCTCAGCCCAGAGGCCCCTGTGCCCACAGTAACACCCTTCACCAAGGCCACATTCAGTGACTGATCAGTGCAGGGGTGTAAAGGCCTAGTCATCTCGGCCCACCCAAGAAAACTCTGCAGGGCCATTCTATATCCACATCTTCCAAGGGGATGGCCAAGCCTGTGGTTGGGCCTGCATCACAGCTAGACCTCTCCCTCCATCCTCTCCTACTTTTTCTCCTTTTCTTCCCTAAGTGTTGAACCCAAGGGCACTCCTTAGTAAACATCCTGTGTGCTTGACTCTGTCTCAGAGTCGACTCCCATGGGAACTCATTCTACAACATATGCCCCGTAAGATTTAAATAAATGGATAGCGTTGTGGGAAAGTAGATTCCAGGGTTCCTCTTAGGAAGATAGAATACCAGGTCTCTGATGGCATGACTCATTACAAGTACTGTAAGCTGGTCCCTTCTGTCATCGTTAGGGTTGGCTCAGGGATTGGGCAATGCGAGGTATATGGATAGAATTGTCAATAAGTGCATATGAGCAGAGATCAGAAGATTGGCAGAGGGGCAGATGCACACGGGCTCATCATCTCACACGGCTCAGAGTTTCATGCATAGAAGCCCCACACGCAGGCTCAGTGTGTTAGTTAGCAGGCTTTGATGCTGTTAGTTATCAAAGGCTGGGTCTTCCGGGCCCAGACTGTGTGTTGCAAATGTTCCTCCTGGACCGCTAGGATGCAGGTGGACAGGGCCTTGAGTTGATAGAACCAAGATACTTCCAGATGCCTTTCTGGCTTCTTCTTTCTGATCAAAACTAACAGCAACAGACCTTATAATGAACCAGACACTGTGCTAAGCACATGCCATAGGTGATCTCATTTAATCCTTGCAACAAGTCTATGGGGTAGATACCTCTTGTCTCCATTGTACAGTTAAAACACATGAAGTTTAGGGAAGGGAAAGAACAGATTTGCACTCCAAGTATTCTTTTGTTTGTGTAGGTTTTGTCCCAAGAGACCCTTCAAATTCAATTTCAATTTCACAAGCTGGTAAATTCGTGGGAGGTTTCCCCCTAACCTGTGCCTTGAAAGGAGCTAATGGAATTAGTTATCTGCAGGCATCAGGCCACCCTGGGCTTCCTTGGCTTTTGGACCCAAGAGCTGTCATCTTGCTTGTCCACAAAGAAGCTGCATTTGTTCCTTCCAAGTCATAGCAGCATAAATCAAAGCTCTGATCAGAAGCAATGATGTACAAAAAGAAAACAGAGACAGAATAAGATCAGTCATCAGATTAGAGGGCTTGTCTATGATGGGAAGGAAGTAAACATTTGTTGAATAAACACAAGTATTGAATGAATAGAAGAATTTACTCAAGTCTATATGAGTCTGAAGGGTTTACTATATATGTGTAGGCATGTAAATTATTGGTCAAATGCTGGTTTTTGACAAGCTGCAAGAGAAATCAAGAGAAAAGGCTGACATCAAAGCAGCATTTGGTTTGAACTGTCCCTTTGATTGCACTTATTTATTTATTCATCAATTTGATTGGCTTTTTAAGTACTGTCTAAGTCTGCTCAGGCTGCTGTAACAAGCATTATTTCTCCTAGTTCTAGGGGCAGGAAAGTCCAAGATAAAAGTGCTGGATAATTCAGCTCATGATGAGGACTCTCTTTTTGGTTCTCAGATGGCTACCTTTTTGCTATGTCCACACATGGAAGAAAGGGGGAGAGAGAGAGAGAGAGCACATGAGCCCTCTCTGGTCTTTACTTATAAGGGCACTAATTCTATCATGGGGACTCCACCCTCATGACCTCATCCACACCTAATTGCCTCTCAAAAGCCCCATCTCCACATACCATCTCATTGGGAGTTAAGGCTTAACATGAATTTGAGGAGGACACAATTCAGTCCATCACAAGTACCCATTCTGTGCCCAACACAGTTCTAGATAATGAAATAGGTCAGTGAATAAAACAGATAGAAATCTCTGCACTCAGGAACTCGTGTGTGTGTGTGTGTGTGTGTGTGTGTGTGTGTGTGTGTGCGTGTGTGCACGCACGCGTGCAGGGGGAAGAGGGGCGATGATACAATTGGCATAATAAATAAGGTATTTTAGGAAATGAAACTGTCAAGAGAAAACAGAAATAGAGCCATGAGGGGCACCTGGGTAGCTCAGTTGGTTGAGCGTCAGACTTCGGCTCAGGTCATGAACTTGTGGCTCTGTATCAGGCTCTGTGCTGACAGCTCAGACCTGGGACCTGCTTCAGATTCTGTGTCTCCCTCTCTTCTCTCTCTGCCCCTCCCCTGTTCGCTCTCTCTCTCTCTCTCTCAAAATTAAATAAATGTAAAGGAAGGAAGGAAGGAAGGAAGGAAGGAAGGAAGGAAGGAAGGAAAAGGAAAGGAAAGAAGGAAGGAAGGAAAGGAAGGGAAAGGAAAGAAGGAAGGAAAGGAAGGAAGGAAGGAAGGAAGGAAGGAAGGAAGAAAAGAAAAGAAAAGAGAAGAGAAGAAAAGAAAGAGAAAGAAAAAAATAGAGCCATGAGTAAGGGAGATGGTGTGGGCTGTTCTGTATTTAAAAGCCTCATTGGGGAGGGCTCATTGAGAAGGTGACATTAGAGCAGAGAGTTTAGGGAGTAGAGAGTGTGTACCACACAGATATCTGGAGGAAATGTGTCCCAGGCAGAGGGGCCAGTTGTGATAAAGCAGTACGTATGGTGAGGGTATGCCTGGTGTGTTTCAGTAAGGATGCCAGCATGGCCGTGGGGTGAGCGCCCAGGATTAAGAGAACAGTCCAAAAGGTAACGAGAGGCAGGATCACATATGCTTCATTGGTGTTTCCACTGAGTGAACTGGAGCTCATGGAGGGTTTTGTAAGAGGAGTGACGTGATCTGATGTTTTAGAAGGATCCTTCTGGCTGATGCATTGAGACAGATGGTAGGGAGTGTACACGACGTGGGCACCACTGTTCACCCTGCAGCTGCTCCCCAGTCAGAGAGGAAGGCCCCACTCATTGATGCTGCAAATGTTTGGACTCTCGTGGGATTCTGGGCTCTCCTCCAGGCTTGGGGGCTCTAGGCCCATACTGCATCTGTGGGGATGGTGTGTCCTGCTCCCCGCCTTCTGGAGGAGATCAGATCCCACCCTGTGGAGGCAAGATTGCATGGTTTGCTCTCATCCTCTGTAGACTCAGATGCTGGCCTTGCTTCAGAAGCAAACAGATCCTTCTGCTGGGTCCTCACTGCCTTTATCACAGTTGTCTTTATACTAAAGTATACTTTGTGCTGAAATGACTGGCTTTTTTTGTCTGCTTTTCAAACTGACTCTGCAGAAATGGAAACTTCCTCATTTTTATTTTAATCTCAAGCACCAGCGGAATGTCTAATACAAGTAGGGATTTGTCATATGTTTAAGAACTAAAAGAATGAATGAACAGAGACTGTCTTAGTCTTCTCAAGTTGCTATAAGAAAATACCATAGACTGGGCAGCTTAAACAGCAGAAATTTATACCTTGAAGTTCTGGAGGCTCAGAAGTCCAAGATCAAGGTGCCAGGAAGGTGAGTTTCATTCTGATGCCTCTGCTCCTGCCTTGTAGGTGGTGCCATCTGGCTGTGTGCTCGCATGACCTCTCCTTTGTGTGCTGAGGAAAGAGCAAGCTCTCTGGTGTCTTCTTATAAGGGCTCTAATCCCATCACTAAGGCCTCACCCTCATGACCTCATCTAATCCTAATGATCTCCCCAAAGTCCCATCTCAAATATCATCACATTGGAGGTTAAGGCTTCAACAGATGAATTTAGGGAGGACACAACTCAGTCCACAGCAGAGCCAATGGTTGGACATTATAGAAAATTTCAGCCAATTAAAAAAAAAAAAAAGATTTAACAGAGCTGTCCAACAATGTCCCATCACTGGGAAGTCAAGCAAGGCTAGATTAACAGCTTGGCAGGGCTACTAAAGACAATCCAGTGAGAGTGGAATAAGATCTGGAACACCATTCATTAATGATGATCTTGTGTAAGTTCCATTTGAAGGATGCAGTAAAAACTATAACATTTCATCTGTGTATTCAGAGGAGAGCCTCAGGGATTTGGAATATCCCATTTGATAGTAGAGTTTGGGGGTAATACTAATCCCACCTCTCTTCATCCTGTAGGTCAGACCATTTAAGAGAGTAGCTAGAGTCAGAAAGATGGAGCTTATTGGAGAAAATTGCTTGGATCTTTATCCAAACTGGCTCCCTAATTCCTCCGGCTCTGGACTGAACCTTTCCCTCTAGTTCTGGGTAGAGGTGGATGGACTATCACAGACCTTCCAAGTAGACTTCCACAACAGAACTCAAAAAAGGGAGAGCTACACATGCCGGTATCCTTATTCCCCATCTCATCTACTCCTTGAGGAGCACCTAGGGGCTGGACAAGGGCCCTGCTTTTCCCTCTTTGGAATAAAGTGGGAATTTGTTCCCCTCAATGAAAAGCTGGGGATGAGAAAGGAGAAATCCGTGTACTGCCCCCAAGCTGTGTGAATGCAACTAGATAGCAAATCAGGCCCTATAACGGGGGACCTTTGCTGGCTTTCCTTGCCCTGAGGTGTCTGGATCCTGTGAAGGGTTAAAAGCAAGAGCTGTGGTTCTGTCTGATGGGGAGGCAGAACTCTCCTCCAATTGAAGCTTTTACTTGAAGACACAATAAAAGACGCTGACATGCTGCGTAAGCATTGTTCCTGGCTGTAGTTATTCCAATTATTTTTTATGTTTTCTCCACAAATGAGGAACATATCAGACACTAACTCAAACACGGAGATACCTATTTATGCTTCAGAACAAACAGTTTAAGGGCATTATATACAGATGTCTAAATATTTAGAAAGTGTCTGTTTATGGGAGCAAAATGAAAAGTACCTGTTTTCATTTGAAGGATTTTATGTGACATTTGCATGTAAAAAAAAAGGCAGGCCCAGTGGCAAAGGGGTGTTAGTGAGAAGTGTGTGCACAGGCATGGAGTTGGCAGGGAGGGGGAGGAGGAGGAGATGTGGGCTGGGGCTGCCCTCAGCTGCCACAGACCCTGCACTGACCCACAGTCGGAGAGAACTGGCACCAATGCGGGGGCCATGCTTCTCTTTGGGGGTGTTGTAAATAAATGCCTTGAGGACACCGGCGTGTTTCAGTGACCTAACTCACAACATCCTCTGTTTATTACACACTCATTTTAGCCCCAAAGGGACATTTAAAGAAAAATAGGATTCTGATTGCTTTGGAAGAGTGTAGTCAACTGGGGGATTGTTCGATTACTTGGCGGTGCTCTGGGTGCTCCCAAACCTGAGGTATCGTGACAGCTGAGATGCAAACGCTGCGAGTTTGACACTTTATCTCACTTGAAGGCAGGTTGCAGACAAATTTGAAAGGACAATATGATATGTGAAGATACGTATGGTTTTGTTAGGTAGTGAAGTCACTGTTTGCTGAGGTAGTCTAAAACAAGATGACCTGTTGTCAGAGGTATTTTAGGGGGTTAGCCGGATGGCCATGTACCTCCGGCCCTTTTCAGTCCTCGGGACTCTGAGACTGTGATTCAGAGGAGTTCAGGAGGAGCTGTCCCTGATTCTATCTCTGTCCCGGGGGCGTCCTCAGCACCTGACTGGATCTGGGTGTGGTGGAGAGAGCCTCAGCTGTCTCTTGAGTAAATGAGAAGTGCTCTCTGTGCTGGGTGTGCCTCAGTGCCCCCCCAGAGCCCTTGAGGGTCCCAGGCGTAGAGGTTTACACTCCCTGCAAAGGGATCTTTCTCTTGCTCGACTAAGGGAATGGTCTCAGACTTCTCTCCCCTTCTCCAAATGGGGTGGGATCTTGTATCACGTGTTCTTAGCAGAACCAGAATTTGCTGCAGGGTCCTGTGAGGACGGAGACCAGAAGCCCAGGTGCAGGGCAGGATTTCTGGGCATTCTGTTTGTCTGACCCCTCAGCGAGGCAGAGCTGCTCCCGGGGCGTTAGAGAACAATGTCCAAGTGCTGAGTTCCATCCAAGCCTCATTCAGCCCCCTCCCCTCAACCATCACAGCACAGAGGTTTAGGGAAAGGCAAAGGGCATAGCTGAACCAGATGAGGGGCTAAAAAGGCAGAGGTAAAATGCCCAGTGCTACTGGAACCCTTTGTAGTCATGCTGAGAGTTGCTCCCTAAAGACACCATATGAACAACTGGGGTACATTCTTGGGGGTTCTGCCAGCGAGGGCAGGACCAAGGATGAGAGAACCTACACTCACCAGGTGGGGACATCCCTCACCATCTGCCCAAGCCTTGTGCCAGAAGGAACAGGCCAAAACAGGGGAAGCAAGAAAAGAGTTGGAGGTTGGGCATTGGGGGTGGTGTGGTGGAGAAAGAGAGCTTAGGCCGAGATGGAGATTGCAAGGATCAGCAAGAGGAACTAGTCAGAGAGAGTGGAGAGAAAGAAAGAGACAAAAATGAGATTTCCGTCTCAAATCTCAAGTGCTATGTTCCCTCTACTTCCCTTGTCCTAATGGAGGTGAGCTCTGAGGCTGAGCATCCATCTTTTGATGTATGTGTTTGACATTTTTTCAGTTGCATGTACAAGATAGGTGCTGTCTGTATTCTAGAACGAAGTCCCTGTCCTCAAAGAGCCGGGTGTTCAGTGGTGCCTGAACCTGCCAGACCATAGTGGGGATTTTATACTCAACTTGTCAAAGCCAGAGGTGGCTGGCATCTGGGAGCAGGGATCAGGACCAGCTGGGGATCAGGAGCAGGACTGCAGTAACTGGAGAGGACGCTGACAAACTCCTTAGAGGAGCTGGTCTCCTCCTTAGAGGAAACTAGGGAGTGGAGAGGCCACCAGAACCTGGGAGCAAACAGGCCAGACTGGTACTGATAACATCTAGCAAAAAGGCCTAGCTCAAAACCTGAGTTTTGTGGAGGGGGCCTTGGCTGTGGGAGGCGTGAGGGGGGAGCCCAGAATCTGGGTGGTAACACAGAGCACCTCCCAGGTCAGCCAGTGGAGAGGCCAGTCGGGAAAAACAGTGGAGTCCCGAACTCAGTGCCGGAGAAGTGACTCACAGACGAGGCCGATAAACAGGGTGAATCAACACTAAGCCCCATTGGACTAGGTTCTGAAGATGCTTAAGGACTTCCTGTCTTCCTGGTCAGATTTGGCTTGGGGCTGGGGCTGGGGCAGGGCCAGGCCAGCAGGTGGGAGCAGGCTGAGCCCTAACTGTGACTCACTTCGGCCTTTTCCTCTCTTAGCCAGGAAACTGGACACATACGTTGTCGGCTGCTGTTCGTAGGGAGATTGACATTTCCTTGTGCTTGTCCTCACACCCAGACAGGGATAAAAGGGACAGCCTCTGCCTTGGAAGAGTCACGAGCTCATGGCTTGCACAGGACTCTTAAACAGCCAATTGCTATCCACCGTGGCAAGGGCCCTAGATGGATCTGGCTGGATTTGCTCACACAGAGGGAGAGGCACGTAAATCTGCAGTGGAGTAGATACCTGACCAATGCTCATTGAACAAATTAACAATTTATTATTAGTATCACTACTATCATCTTTATTTAGTTATTTGTATTTTGATTTTTTTGGTGGAGGGAAGAATGGATTAAGAAGGGCATCATAAAATAGGAGAAATTTGATCCTTGCCTTAAATGATGAGTTGGTGAAGAAGATGGGTCCAAGCAGAGGTCCTAACACAGGGGGCTTGGGAAGCAGGGAGTCATTCAGTGTGGTTGGAGGGAGATGAGGCTTAAAGAAGGAGAGTGACGGCAGATGGAGCAAAATCCTGAAGACCGTATTAGTCAGCTTTGACCAGGTAACAAACAAGCACATAAAAAATGAGCACTGGTTTCGTGCACATGTATTTTCAGGTCGCTGGGTTGGCCCTGCTTCAGGCTTGGGGGGAAGCTCAGGTGTGCTTCCACATATCTCCCTGTGGGTCCGTGCCAGAGGGTAGCAGCTCTTGAGAGCGCATTCACGGGGAAGGTCAGAAGTTTTCAGAGGAGCAAGTAGAAACACAGGATGCTTCTCAAAACCTAGGCTCGGGAACTGGAAACTGTCACTTTTACCAAGGCAGGTCATGTGGCCATGCCCCAAGAGAATGAGGAAAATAGGTGGGGTGAGGATAATGAGTTAATAGTTGGTGAACAGTCCTCTAACCTGCCATATAATATAATGTAATTTTGTGTTGATTTGGGAGAAAATGGGGGGGCTGTTGCTAGTCCTTTTTTCAGATAGGATAATTTTAATAGGAGTGTCCAGGAACACTTGCCATAATGCACAGGGACACTTTGTTTGTGCGTGGATGTAGTTAAGACACTCTACTTTGTTTACATATCAGAGTTTCTGCAGGGCAGGGGCTGCGATTCACTTATCTCTCTAACCTCAGCACCCAGTGTGGCACCCAGCACAGAGTAAGTGCTCATAGTATTTGCTGAATAGACAAATGGTCTCTCCCTGTCATCAATGTGTGGTTAAAATTTAATAGGAAATGCACATTTCTCTGCCCCCATTGACAGTTCAAGGTAAGGGTGGGATGGTGAGTGAAGAGCAGGTATGACCCGCTCAGAGGTGGGAAGAAAATTGCTAAGCAGGGAAATCAACAATGGCAGGAGGTGGGTGGCCCAAACCCCAGCTGCTATAGTCAAAGGACTGTTTGATAATGACAGCCAAGAAGGTCTTCTAAATAATGGACTTCTTCCAAGTAACTGTCAACTTGAAAGATACAGATTTCTAATGATAATGGCTAACATATATTGAATGCCTCTTATGTGCCTGACGCAATCTTAATACATTTTCTATTTCATTTGATTCGGTCCTCCCTTGGACCACAGTTATTAATAGGGGGCATCACTGAAGGTAACAATAGTTTGTTCATATCGTGCTGGAGTTGCATTTTCACATGCCGAGTCCATGGCAAATGAGGACAAAAATGCCATGTAAATACAACTGAGTGGTGTAAGCACAGCTGATAAAGTCAGCAAATAATGAAGGCAAAGTAAGGTTGAGCAAGTGCAGATGAAAGACTGAGAACGCACTGCAAATACTTCAGCTCTCAAACAAAAACACAACCAGGTCGGTGGACAGCAGACGGCAAAGATTCTGTCTCAGTCACTTTTTATTCAGAAGTCCATCCATGTTCCAGCAAGGAGACACGTGGGTCCCACGACCCCCCCCCCACCCCCCGCAGCTGCACTATGTCTGATCTTCAGACCCTGGAGGGCAGTGATGTGGTTGTCTAATTCTGATGCCCCACAGCATAGTACTGTAATGGATACATAGTGCATGTCTAGGATCTGAACTCTGGGCCTTCATGGGACCCAGAGGCTTAAGAGAATCCATAAACCTCTGAACTAAGTTTCTGCAGACAATGTAGACAGCCTCTTCCTGGCCCCTGTGGTAGACATCTCAGTGATAGAAGCACCTACCACCATAAGGAGGCTTAGGTTAACTACTCTTCTGTTCTCTCTTTCAATATCAGAACACAGTGTTTCCTCCAGCCCTGTCCCTGCTCCTCACTTCCGGCCCCAGGAAGCAGCCAGATGACAAGAGGCCACTGGGTAAACGTCTCTTGTTCTCTGAAGAATGTTAGACTGTGAGGATGTACCTCTGAGGTTGTGGGAGGACGAAATGAAGAAGTACAATGGCTGGACAGCATAAGCACTCAGTCCATCGCCGGAAAGGGTATGTGTTTCTCCTAATTATCAGGAATACAAAAAATGATACAAAGTATTTTTAAACCGTTCTCCTTAAGTTTTCTTCCAGTTCATCTACCAAGTTCACCTTGAGTGGACCCTTCCCCCTTCCCCTTTGTCTCTCTTCCTCCTTCTTTATCATCCTGTCTCAGAAGGGTCTGGGCTTTATCTACTGTGCTCCAATCTGCAAGTTTTCTGTTCTGAGCTGTTCCCTCTTCAGTCTAAGTTGGAAAAGCCTACTTATTTTTAAATGAGAACACCGAGGGGATCTATTAGACTATACCAGGTAGCTCATACTTTGAATGAGGAAAATGAAGGGCAAGCAGGCTCAAGCAGGAAGCAAGAGAGGACTGGTACAGCCAAAGAACGGTTGGCTTAGAACCATGCTGGAGTCATTGTCTCAAAACAATGAAGTTGACTCTTCCCAACACTTCCGCCAGGTTGCAGCCTGGGGATGCTCCCTGCTGCCACTGGAGGTGATCTCTGAAGGCAAGCTCTTTTTCCTTTTTCATTTCCTACTTTTCGGAGAAGTTTCTATGAGGCTAAAAAACTTTTAAAATAGGGATCATCTGGTTAGCAATATCTTGATGTATTAAAATACGAAAAATACAGACACACCACAGAATCCAACTCTCTCCTAGAGGGAGTTGTGGGAGGTGGTAGGAAGCAGGAAAAAAGGGATGAAAAGAGTAGAGTACTTGGTTCTCCTCCTTGCATAAAGCATCTGTCACATAGCAGGGGGCCGATACCTAAATCTCTCTGTCTTTGCAGCCTCTGCTGAATGACTTCCCTGAGGGATATTTGCCCTGTGGGTTTTAAGCTTTGACCACACTGATCCTTCCTTGGCAGATGAGGCTGGTTGCATTAAGCAAGTTGAGGACAGCCTTGCATTTACGATGTCTTTGCTCCTTGGAGCTGAATATTAAGAAATACCACGGGGGGAGGAAATCAGGCTACACCAAAGAGAGCAAGATGGAAATTGCTCCCTGACTGTTGTGATGTTGAAGTTGCTGCAAAAGCCCAGTACCCCAGTCCCAGCATTGCCCCTGATTCCTTTTTCCATTCACTCACTACATGGATTTCAATATCTATGTGCAAGATACCCTGAAAAGTCCAGGAAAGGGAAATAAGATATATGGCCCTCTAGTGGGAGAGCCAAGGGGGTAAGTCATCCATGACTGTGGGAGTTATTACAGCAGAGGCAGCCCCAGAGCATGGTGCACGCACAAAGAAAAGGGTGTGTGATTTGGGACAGTCTTCAGAGAAGAGGTGCCATTGAGCCCAGTGTAAAAACAAATGTCCACATTCAATAGTGTGACAAAAGTATGAACTGTTTTCTGGTAGAAAGAAGGGCATTTAGAAGGGCATGGAGGAATGAAAATGTCATATTTGGGGAACTCTAAGAATTTCTATTTGGCTTAGGTGCATGGTTTCCACATTGGAGGCGTAACAGGGGATGAGACTTGAGAGAAAAACAGGCAGAGTCGCTCTCCAATGTGGGGCAAATCATGCACCACTTAGGACTTTGAGTAAGTTCATTTATATCATGAGACTAGAGTTTCTGTTCTCCCTAATTCATAGGGCTTAGCTTTAGAATTACAGAGGAGAACAGGAGGGGGAGTTCAAGGTCATCTAGTGTAGAGATTTTTGAGGTGTCTACGCAGCACTTCCACTGGGACGGGGGTCAGCTGCCTCAGGAAGGGGTCCTCAAGTTTGGCCACACAGGGAGAGACCCTATGTCCAGCTTTGGTCAGGGCAGCTGTGCTTTGCTTTGAGTATTGGGCTTCCAGCTATGAATCGAAGGGGAAAAGGTGAGGTTCTGCTGCTAGCAGGTGAAGTTCGAAAATCACTGGGCTAGTGCAAGCCTCCTACAAGGAAATTGACTTGTGGGATCCAGTGAGACAATCAGACTGGGTTTCACAGCACCAAAGCCACATTCCCACAAGGATTTTCTTAGGCAGGCTCCAGCCAACAAAATCTTCCACAACACTTAAAAGACAAAAGATCAAAGTGGAAAAACAAATGCTAATGCCCCCAGCCTGCTGCCCCCCTGCTGGGCCCAAGAGGTTCAAAGCTTACAGACCAGGGAGGGAAAGCCCAGCCCCTCCTATCACCTGGGCTCCCTGCTGCTTTTCTGACCAGCACCCCTGCCCCTCCTTCCACGTGGCTTTCCAGACCCACTTGGGTCTCCTGACACCCTTGGACAAGAGAGGGTCCCAGAGGACCCTGTCTCCTGAATGTCCCCCTACCACAGAGAGGTGTGTGCCTGGGGTTAACAGCGGTGGACCGATAACGCTTCCCTCTGTTCAAAACATGTTTACAAGGTGTAGGCAGAGAGAAAGCCTGACAGTACACACACTTGAAACTGCTGAAGAATTTTGTTAAGTGCTCTGTGTGTTTTTGGGCAACCCACTCCAGTTTTCTGGGTCTCGGCTTTCCGCTTTTGGAAATGAGCAGCTGGCGGAGTTATTTCCAAGGTCCTTATCGGCTGACGCATGCAGCTCAGCCCTGTTCTTTTCTCTTCTCTTAAGGCATTCTTTGCAGAGAGTTTTCCCACAAGGAAAGTGCTTCAGAGGGGAAAATATGTCAGGTATGTGTTCCCTGTGGTTATTTTAGGACAGTTTGGAGAAACAGGGATTGTGAAAGATGGAAAGGGGAAGAGGAAGAAGAAATCCCATGCCAAGTGTGGCGGGAATCCCCCGCTCCATTTCAAGAGTGGAAAGGACCCCTGTGTGGGCTCCGAGCCCCTTACAGAAACCATGGAAGCCCAGAGATGGCTTGATCTGTTCAGGGTCTTGATTTACCCAGGCTGCCCCTGGTAATGCCACTGGACCACCGTGAAATTCGAGTTGCGATGCATCTCAAGATTAAGTGGCAATGAGTACAGAGTGAAAATTAGTGAGAGGCCACCATCTATGTGCCTTGTGCTTTTGTAATTCCTGCTTTGACCGTTCTTTTAATGCTCATAAAAATCCAGGCCAGCCACTTTTACGCTGTTATTTTAAAAAGCCTCCTCCAGGCAGGGCTGATGTATACTGGTCCGCACAGATAATGCCAAATGGGTTGTTTACATCTGATTTTTGATCTGATGATCAGTGCAATTCTGTGCCATACCAGATGATTACATATTTTGAATCCCTCCCAAACCTCCTTGAGCAGGAGAGTAGCAGACAGAAACCCTCAGGAAGACTTCTCTTACTACTCTAAAACTTACTTACCGCCTACTTCGTGTCAGATCTTTCCAGATGACTGTAGTTCCTAGACATCAGGTCCTCTACAGCATGGTGCTGTCAGGAAGGAACTATGATTCCCCTGTATTATCAAATCCTAGAAAGGGCTCAGTTAGAAAAAAAGGCTATAGAACTAGCCCTGACCAAATCCCAAAGTTCCTTCTGCTGGACTAATTCCCTCTCCCCGCTGACTTCTGGGCGGAGCCCACGTGGGCTGTATTCCACAAATTGTTTGCAAGTCCCTGAAAGGGAAGGGACTGGCAACAGCAGGGAACCAAGTCCTCCTAACCTTGGTTTATCCCTTTAAAAAAATTTTTTCTTAAATGTTTTATTTATTTTTGAGAGACAGAGACAGAGTGCAAGCAGGGGAGAGGCAGAGAACAGGGGAGACAGAATCCAAGGAGGCTCCAGGCTCTGAGCTGTCGGCACAGAGCCTGACACGGGGCTCGAACCCATGAACCGTCAGATCATGACCTGAGCTGAAGTCAGATGCTCAACTAACTGAGCCACAAGGGCTCCCCTATCTTTTCTTTACTCATCTTTAGGGGAAGAGGTTACCTTCCCTTTGAAGTTTTGTTTTCAGATCTTTTTTTTTTTTTTTAGAATTTCCTCCAATCTCTTTTGTTGCCTCTACCGCTATTTGTACGTCAGCCGTTACCGTCCCCATAACCTTCTCTATATTACTCTCTTTAAAATGTCTGCTCCAGGGGCGCCTGGGTGGCTCGGTCGGTTAAGCATCCGACTTCGGCTCAGGTCATGATCTCGCAGTCTGTGAGTTCGAGCCCCGCGTCGGGCTCTGTGCTGACAGCTCAGAGCCTGGAGCCTGTTTCTGATTCTGTGTCTCCCTCTCTCTCTGCCCCTCCCCTGTTCACGCTCTGTCTCTCTCTGTCTCAAAAATAAATAAACGTTAAAAAAAATTAAAAAAAAAAATGTCTGCTCCAACCAGACTGGATCTCCTCTAAGAAGGGACCAAGTCTTATTTGTCTCTGCCTTCCCAGTGCCTAAGAGTGCCTAGCACATAACAGGCTTTGTAAATACTTGTAAAATAAAAAACAGAATAACTGAATAATAATTAAAAAAAGAATAAATAAACAAGCCCATCCCCAGTCCCCGCTCCATGAAGGTATTACCAAGTTATGTTGCCTGCCTGGCTTCTGGTAGCATTTGTCTTCCAGATCCCTGTGGTAGGTGATAATTCATTAGAATTAGGATTAGCTGGAGTGTCAGAAAACTTTGAAATATTGCTGGCTTAATCATAATGAAAGTTTATTCCTTTCTCATGTGACATTTTGGAAGAAAAAGACAGGGTTTGCATAAGTGATCTATGGTGTGTTTCTATCTTACTATGCACTACCTTCATTGCCAAGGTCACTTTATGACCCAGGATGGTTACACTAGCTCCAGCCATCACATCTGTATTCCATCCTGCAGAAAGTAAGGAAGTATAATGAAGAGCCTAACACTTCCCTGTAAGGACACTGCTAAAAGTCATACATTCCATTTCTAGGTGAATCTCATTAGTTGAACCTGAGTCACGTGACCATGCCTTGCTGCCAAAGAGGTTGGGAAATGTGGCGTTTATTCAGCAGCCTCCTAGAACGTGGAGGGTTGTGTTAATAGAGAAGAACAGAGACTGAAAAACAACATACTATTTCTCTTGTAGGAACCACTTAAAGCTTCTTGGTTTTGTTTTTTAGGGTTTGGTTTTGTTTTGTTTTTTGCTTTTTTTTTTTGGTAAAGGAGTGACTGGGTCAAATCA